TATATTGATAAATAGCTCAAATACTTTCATTAATCATTCATTTTCACTTTCATCAATTTCTTTTGATTGTTTTAGTACTAAACGTATATTATTGGCATAATAAATGTCGAATAACTTTTGATATAGTTTGATGATCAAATTGATGATTATAAAATGAAAATCAACTATTTTGTTGCTTATGAAAGTTGTAATTGTACTTCAGTATTTTGAATATCAATGTCAACCTTTCATTGTGCAGGAAGGATATCAAAATTTTTTATTGCTGTATATCATTCAGGCTAAATTATATAAACTTCAGGGGCATTGACTGCTGCACAAAATGAGAGTTCATGTAAAAGACGACCTATCGTAACTGGTTTTTGTGATATTGAAATAAATTTCACCAGTTTAATCGCTGCAATATTTTACTTCGAAAGAGAATAAAATAATCTTAATTCACAACTACAAATATTTATATAATGATAAAAGATGAAAAATAGTTCAGAAGAAAAACATCAATATAATAACAACAACAGCAAAGAGGAGAAGATCAACAAGAGAACATTAAAGAGGATGAGAAAAATCAATAGTAAAGAAAGTATAGAAGAGCAGACATCATAGAATAACATCTCTTAACACTAGTACGTTTCATTATTATCTCAGGTATGTTCACTCCTTTGTCTATACTATGAATCGATAGTTTTGAAAGACTGCTCGGTATATGTACTTGAGCATAACAAATTGCTCAATGGATTCACCGTCATTCGTTGTCTTGAATGTTATTCTCACGAATTCGAAAATTATTGATGCCTTTTTTTATTGAGACGATGTTATGATCTTTTCAGCAATTAATCAAAAAGGTACTATTAATGCATATATATGCACATTTGGTTCTAGTTCAGTCTTGTATGTACATTCTTTTCTGGCATAGATTTTGTTATTCTTATTCAAGATCAATCTTTCAGATTGTTTTTAAATTTGGTCATCTCATATGAGTTCTAATGAGCGATAGCATAAATCTTTTGAATATGACAGAAAATCATTTTGTCTTCTTTTCATTTATATTTAAATACGAAATATATTTTTTCCAGTTTGAGTAAGCGATAAACAATACGAAATATACCAAAAAATTGCATCAGCGTTGCGAAAATAACATCATGCATGTTAATCATTATGATTAGTGAATCATTAAATAACAAATTTCTTCATAAATGTGAATCACCTATAGTCATGTAGATATTGATTGAATTGCTCAAACACGTAATCTTTTATAAATTGATTAATGGTCAGATAGAAACTTGAACTTTCCGTTTATAAAAACTAGCATCACCAATGCAGATATCAAAAAACTTATGTAGACATTTGAATGCAAATGAACTAAACCATTATTCACAAACGAGTAGTTAAATATGGAATTGTATGATGCAAAGTCATTTCCTATCAATCTTGAAGTACGAATATGTTAAGAGTTAATTTTACTGAAATATCTATTTGAGCTTCTTGAAATTAGCTGTTTATTTATATCATCCTTGACTTTTCATGTTTAGATGTATTCAAAATATTTGCCATGCTGATAATTAAAAGAAAATGTATAGTTAGAAGACGAAAGCCAAAATGTAAACAACAACACAACATTTACTCTTGTATCGTTTGTCCCTTAATAATACTTTTCTGATGATTATTGCGGATGTCATACAGTTTGAAATTTGTAACAGAAATCATTACTAGGACGGAATCAATCAGAATACTTTTATCATTATATTAAACATACTAACATATGTCGATATAAATTATTGAGCATCATGTGATAAAAAAAAACAACCTAGAATGTACTTTTATATAAGCATAAGATTTCACACTTTAGACATCTTCTTCCATGTTTTTCTTTATCACATTGTCTAGCTTTGTACCAAATTGAATAAACCGGTTAACAAAAACGATACAATAGATAAACAAATTCACATCAACGTCATTAACACAGTATATACAATGTATACTCTTTCAAAGACAACAATATATTCCTTTTTGTATTGTTTCTTTTTCTCCTTCTCTTATTTTTCTAAATATAAATTTGTATACCATTGTATAGGCAACAGAATTGAATGTGTTATTATACACGTATTATATTTTATTTACGCATGACTTTGTTGTATTCTATATTTATTTCAAAATGATTCATTTTAATTATATGGAGAGAACACAAATAGCAATACCAAAAAAAGAAAAATATCCTATTCAGCAATTTTGTGAAAGGTAATCAAGTAAACAAATATATTTTCCTTGGACATGTATAATTTGTTGAATATTAAATTCTCAAAGTAGTAATGATATTTTTTTAATATGTTTATTAGTAATTTTCTTGCCCATCATATAATAAATAGGACAATTATCCGTATAAATAATTATATTACGACTAAATAAAAAAGATCTCACTCAAGTAATACATTTGAAAATTGCCAATGCTTTAAGTTCAATATGATGATAACGTTTTTGTGATGATGATAATAATTCGAAATAATAATAAAGTATTTTTTTAACATTATTAATTTCTTGATAAAGAATACCACCTAATCCCACCTTAGATGCATCAGTTGATAACAATACAGGTTGTGTATCATCTGGAAAATTTAAAAGAAGTGGATGAGATGCTAATAATTGTTTTAAATCATTAAAAGATTTTGATTGTTCAGGTACCCATTTAAATTTATGTCGATGTGATTTCAAAAGATTGATTACAGCATGAACAGGTGTTGCCATACTTGCAAATTGTGGAATAAATTTTCTGTACCATGATAATGCATCAATGAAGCGATTTGCTTGTGCTAATAATCTAGGTTCTGGTAATAAAATAATAGATTTAATTTTATCTGTTAAAGGAGTAATTGTTGTGGAATTAATTACATGTCCTAAATATTCAATTGTTTGTTTAGCTATTTCACATTTTGTTGAATTTAATGTTAAATTATGTGATTGTAAAGTATTTAAAACTTCTTCAAAGTGAATTAAATGTTCATCATAAGTACGAGAAAAAATTATGATGTCATCTAAATAAACTAAGGAGAAGTCAGTACATAATGATAATAGATTGTTCATAATACGTTGAAAACTTGGAGAAGCATTTCGAAGACTTTGAGGGAGAACATTCCATTCATATAAACCAAATAGAGCGATGAATGCTATTTTAACTAGATCTTTTTCATCAATAGGTAATTGCCAAAACCCTGATTTTAAATCAAGTTTAAAAAAAATTGATAACCTGCAGCTAGTGTTTGTAAAGTTATTTCCATATTTGGAAGAAGATAATTATCTTTAATTGTGGATTATGTTTTTCAGGATAACCTTTCCATGCAATTAAATATTCTTTTTTACTATTGCGAAAAAGATGATTGACAATACGTTCAACAATAAATATTTCACCTTCAGTAACATCTAATACGTGTTGTTTTTCTTCATTAGCAGTATTCATAACATGAATTTTTTTTAAATTTATTTTTATTTTTTATGCTAGGATCGCCAATTGTTAAGGTGTATATTTAGTTCAAAATGTTTTTGAACTTGTTTTATTGCAGATTTAAAATACACGCTTAACAACAATAATAATAATAATAATAATAATAACAAAAGAATGAGAGTAAACAAGAAGAGAAAACATAACCAATAAAAACGAAGAGTTACTATCAAGATATAGATGGTGAGAGAGAAGAAACATAACGATTATGATATTGTGCATAAACACATATCATAACAGCATCCCTTAAACAAGTCGTTGACGATGTACAACTGTAATATCCATTTTAACTTTAACTTGACTATAATCATAATTTGTTGTATTAAGTAATACATACATTGAAGATTCTTCTGATTGTTCTTTTTCTTCAACTAAATATTCTTAAAAAGATAAAAATTCAGAGAGTATAAAATAAAAATTTAATTCTTACTCAACGAGCTCCCAAGTCCACCTTTACAAATTTTTATTTTTCCCTGGACATTTGATAATAGTATGATCGTTGTTTTTTGCCAGTATTTCAGATAAATAACTGGATACTTTTGATCACGAGAAAGTTGCTGTTGTAATACTGATGTTAACAAACTTTAAATGAGAAAAAATAAAATATAAATGAATATAGTATTTGATCTTTTATCAAACATGTCATATGTCCACCAAATATTTTACCAAGTGCTGAATATTTATTTGTTACGCTAATTATCATTCAATCAAGTTCAAATACGATTCGATAAAAACAAATACTATAAGTTTTGACTACATCATCACGAATCCTTTTAACTAATTGTTGTTTCTTTCGACATCGAGCTCCAAACTCTGCTGATGGTGGATCTTCAGCAACCTGTTCAAAAGCTTTATCAAACCTTCTAATCACATAATTTAATGGAAATTTTCCTTTTTTGATTGAGACTGTTGAACTTGTTAAAGAATTATCGCACAATTGATGAACCATTTGATCAAGTGATAAATTAGTAAGTTATGAACGATTTGTATTCGATAGAGGTAATATCATCTGGTGTCACAAATCAACATCGTCATATTCACTATCAATATTTGAAATCATTAAAACATGATAAATTATTGGATTGATAAGAATGCAATTGTTGTATAAGTATATTAAAGTTAACAACGATAAACCATCAATTTCTTCTTCTGAAACAGATAAAAAAAGACTCGATTATTAGATAGAGAGTAAATCGTCGATCTCTTTAAATTCGTTTACGTATTTATCCAATCCATTCTTCATCAACGATGTAGAAGCATCTTCGTTAGCCCACTCCATGGATTATTTATCCAAAGTAGATTATAAAAAAGAAAAAAATGAGATAGATACTTTTAGTTTTTCTAAGCTCATCAATGAACAAACCAACAGATAAGATTTGAAAACATGTGGAATATATATCATCATAAAAAAAATACAAGAAACTTATTCAACAAGTAGTAAACGATAAGATAAACGAATGAAACATGTATAATTTGAACGATAGCAATCTTCTGCTTTATGTGTTAAAAACTCATATTCTTATCTATTACCATATAGACATCTGATGAACGGACTTCACAGCACTACAAATTTTGTTAAAATGCTACCGTATCTTAACAATCAATCGTAAATCTCCGTTCTTTTCCGATATTAATAATGTGTTTAATTTTCACCAATAATGGTATTTTTTCTCCATCTAATAAATAGAAAACAAAAAAAATCTTCAATCTTGTATTTGACATTGTTTATCACCACCCATTTAACACATTCTAGAATTTCACCATAACTGAATAAATAATCATTTGGTAACGCATTTAATATTATTTTTTAAACTTATTGTTCGCCGTGTACGAGATTTACTACTAATACTATTAATTTTTTAATATATTTTCGCCCAGTAGTTCTATCAACATTTATAAAACAAATTGTACATTGTTGTACACGATTAAGAGACATTCATTCACAAGAAAATTAAAAATACAAAATTGAATAAATAAATTATGACTAGATAGAATACTCATAATGCTAAAAAATATGAACAAAAAATATTTCTGATACACGACTGGCTGTTCTATCATCTCTTTTCTATACCAAAATGATTGACCCCATAGAATAAAAACATGATAACACGACGACGAAGAAGACGACAAAAATGAAATCGAAACGAACAAGAGGAAAATAAAAGACCAATGCACCGTATACAAGGGGGAAAAAGCGACACTCCGTACTTCTGAAGTACGAGTGAAGTACAAGTGAAGTACAGTGAAGTACGTGAAATACGAAGTCTCGCTTTTTCCCCCTTGACCGTGTATGATGATATGATGTATATTAATCGATACAAAAGTAGAAATTTCCAAGATAGAATGAAATAGATAAATAAATAGCTAATGGATAAAAAGAAATTATTGATCTTCTAACAAAATTTCATTTGAAATTCATAACTTGAAAAATGTTTCAAGGTATTTTATCTCTCTTATAACAAGAGAAACTTTCATAATGTGCGAGTCATTTTTTTAGAGAATAAATTTTATATACATTTGGACATTCGGCAAATGTAATGCAACAATTAACGTTGCAACAAGAATAAATCTTTTTATGCTAACTATTTAGATTGAAATGCATCAAGTCATTCTTCTGTTGATGTCAAAAAGAGATCATCGATAGACATGAATAATGACGTCAAGTTTGTTTAGACATAGCAATTGTACAATTCTTGCACACTCTTGTTTATTTATAGCATTTTTTATGTTTTCATACTAGTAGGATATGAAAACCAAATTATTATTCATGTGCGAATCTACTCGGTGATTTATTTCATTTAAATAATGCAATAAAACGTAGGAGAGTCATTAAATTTGTAAATGAAAGATCTTTGTATTTAATCACAATATGAATTTATTTCATGGCAAAGATTATATATTACATATCTAATATCGTGATCAATAAAATTAATTGATTTTCTAAAATAGTTTTAAGAAACATCTCGTAATTAATACAACAAATTTCTTCAAATCGAAATTGATTTTCGAATTTTATTTGCAATCAATGTTAATTATCTATCTTTTAAAAAATGAATTTTTTCGAAAATCAAATTGAATTGCTATGATTTAGAAAATTAAGCATTTTTGAATATTTAAAATTCGACAAAAGATTATAAAAGTTTGAAAATGCTGTAAATTTTGTAAAATCAACCTTCTAGAAAAAAGAATTTAAAAATAACTTACAGAGCATGCACATGAAAAAAAAACGTGCTGCATCATTACATGTTATTTTTTCTTTCTCATTTCTTATCTTACAAAGTATTACCATTGTGCTTTTGATTGACACAATTTGCATTTTTCTTGACAGCTCGAATGATCATTTATCTTATTATCTACCTATTTTAAACTGTACTCAACAAAAAAAGAAACGCTCTAGCGAGAATTATATTTCTTTTGGATGTACTGGATTTTCTTCAATACCATATGCTTCAAAAATATTATTTTTCTAATTGGATTCATTGGAAGAGTTAGGTGTTAATTATCTATTGAAAAATGTTTGTTTGAAAATATCCTCAACTTGTCCTTCTTACAAATATTTGTCCTTGGTAAAAACGTCCTTGAGCAATAATCCCTCGTATGAAAATATCCATCATTCTCAGCTGCTGTTTTTTTAAATATATTAGAAGTGAAACATGAACTGAGGATGTAAATCGTCTACTAAGCGTCTTCACTTCAAAACCCTTAGCAAAGAAAATTATATGATCCTTTAAGCAGCAACCAAACTACGACCCAAGAATTATTATTGGGATATTCGCTATTTGCTACAAATGAAAAATAAAATCAAGACAAATTGATTATAAGAAAATAAACTAAGGTACCAGAAATCCATAATTAAAGCGGAGTTTTTTTCATTTTTTTTTGAATACGGTGGAATAGAACGTGACGAGCTAATCAAGAATATTGATATTTTCATTTTTTTGCAATGAGTTTTTTGGGGAGAAATTTCCGCTGGGGTGTGGATGTGGATGTTGTTGAAGCGAAAACTAAGAAGAACAGCCAAGTCCCATACCTACATTCACACCCATACTTTTTTTTCAAAGCAAGACTCGTAAGAAATGCGATGATATCTTATTCTCTTCAGGATTTTTTGCTCATTAAGATGTTGCTCTTAAAAATATTTGTTTCATACAATCTGCAAGAACGTAAAAAACACGTTGTTTAACTTTCCAAAAATTTTTCTTTTATAGTTTATATAGAAAATTTCGACTATGGAATCCATTTGACAAACAATTTCATTGACTATTCAAAACATTATACGAAAAAAAATCTCTTTTTAATCTAAATCGGACAAATCACAACTGGAATACTTTATGACACTTTGTGAAAGAAAAGAAAAAAAAGAGAAAGTGTTTGCTTTACTTCTTATGCAGCACAGAGAGAGAAACCGAGGAAGCGAGAAAAATGACTCAGTGGGAAAAAATGGCCTTGTCAATAAGTACAGAAATTGGAAATAGGTCACTATACTGCATAAAAAGCTCATACAGCTTACATTTATGCTAAAACACAATTTTTTGCATATTCGATCGTAAGTAATACTATTCAACTTTTATTCTTCGTGGTACGTCTTCATCCTTAATGATTATGAATCTTTCATTTTTCAGACAAAGATATTCTTGATTTAACGCCTATTAATAAATTTAAATTAGATTTTTACATATACGACTTCTAAGTTTTATTTTATTTCTTTTATATTGATCAATAAAATATTATACACATATGATACTATCGATAATTAGTTGAGCAATCAGTTAGATTCTAAATTATAGTGGATTATCTCCAGAAAAAAATTTGATAATTGTTAATCAACATATTTTACGAAAAATTACATAAAGCTCTGTTGCTATTGTCTAATATATATTTTTTTCTTTCAAATATGCACGTCTATAGTTCGTTCTCTTCTTATAATTGTCTCATCATTGGTTATCATAATACCATATTCATAGGGGCATTTTTTTCTCACTCTGCGAGCGATTCACAGAACATTTCTTGTTTACATAATAGGGATTTTTATTTCGTATTATATCAGAAATTACCACTTATCGTAAAGAATAAGGAAGTACTCCTTATGAAGAAATTCACTCTATATAAATAGGTGTCATATGATTTTTCTTTATCTGTCATCTGGACAGACAACCAATAGGAATATTAGAATAAAACATAATATCTAGGTTTTGCTTTTTGTTGCATGATTACTGTAACAATAATCTTATTTTAGTGAAATATTTGATTTATTGTTCTTTTCTCTTCTTATATTATACAACAACAACGTCATTAAACATATATATTGATATTAGGTAAAAACAGATACTTAAACCTACTCGCAGCCTTTATACCTAATGATAAGATAACTAAGTAATTACAAATACTCGGTATACTTGAGAACACAACATTATTAGCAATAATGTACGTTTAATAATAACGACTGTTACATTAAAAAGAAAAGAAAAGAAAAGTAATTTGTTTTAGTGTGCGTGGAAGAACAGAATAAAAGAGACACTGCTTCAATAAACAGATGGTTTACTGCATGTATACAACTATTGTATACCCGTACAGATGCTCAGTTTCAACAGCATGCACTCTTTCATTGTAAGTAACTATTAATATTTGAGTATTAGTAAAATAAGTTCGAACTGTTGTTGAACTCGATCATGTTACTAATGGATAGACGTTTCAAATATACACTTGAGATATGCTATGCCAAGCTATTATATTTAAAAATCATTGATGAAAATATCAAATATAATTTCAATTGATCTAATCGAAGGTACCCTTAGCTAGACCCAGAGATCATTATCGGCACCGAAAACCTTTCATCAGACTTTCAAAAGAATTATTACCCTCGCCGAATATTTTGTTAAAGAAAACACTTGGTGTAAGATCTTGTGAATGGAAGTTTGCGAAATCTATTGTTTAGTAATATTTTCGAGTTAAACAAAGGTTGCAGCACTCTTAATATCTAAACAGCTTTTATTTTCATAAAATGTGTTTTTTCATTCCATCTATAATTTTAGTTTTATTTAACGAGACTTAAGTGCATATGAACTATCGATTTCATATCAAAATTGAGCCTTTGATTTTTTACAAGAGATAGAATCAGTTCAGTTATATAAACGGATCTCATCTCTGATCGTTACATTTCATTCATGTGACTACACGTATTCGAGATTGTTTGTTTTTGTCTGCTCTTTTTCTTTTTATTTGACGAAAAGAAAAAAAGATGTAATTAAATTTTTTAGTTCGTCGAGATCGGTTAAAAAAAAATATTTTTTGACCAGAATCGAGGCTTAGATTAAAAAACTACTGATCATTGTGTTTCAACTGTGTAAGAACGCTGATATTTTTTTAAAATGAAATTACAATGAGTTCTATACACTCGCGCTTATTTAAGACGCTCCGAAAATAAAATCAAGACATCAATTGATGACAAAGAAAATTTTATTTTCAAAACATTCTTTCATATAAATCGGTCAAATGTTTATTCTCTATGTATCAAAAATATGAAATTCTTCGCTCTTTTGTATGACAGTTATAATAATTTAGTCTCAATCAATCAGATTTCACTTATGCTACAACAAAATACGTATGAGACAATGGAGAAAAAATTCTATTCACTTGGATGTGGATTTTTCATCCTTTGTTTTTGTTTTTTCCAACATTATTTTTATTTTATGATAAAAACATGGCAATGTTCTTCCAAAGTATTTTTCGTTTTGCACTTACGATAAAATTCTTTTCTTTTTATTTTTTTCTTTAAAAGAATAAGATCACCCTTAATAAAGTATATATTTTTTTAATGACGCAGAAGAAAGAAAGAAAGAAAGAAAGAGAACGGACATGATCAAAATCTATGATTGTAGTGAACTAGAAAAATAAGTAGAAAAGAATATGAAGTCATTTGTTATTGATAGAAAATAAAATAATGAAACTATTCAAAAAATGTACTGTTATTGTTAGAACGCAAAATGGTGTATAGTTCATGCTATAAATACATTGTTGTTTTAACTAATGATACAACAGATCAACAAATCCGTAGATCTACTATTTATCAAAATAATCATCGGGAAGTAACAATATCAATATCAACTAGTATATTAATGATCTTGGTTTCTGTTTTGCTTTATCAATATTCATATTTATTATGTTCTAGTTACTGACTGATCAATTTTTACTTATCACATAATCGCATGAGTGTAGATTAGGATGTGATTCTCATATTGATCGAGATGTTAATTTTCTCTTACAGGTACAAGCTATGAAACTTGCACATCTTCAACAACTGTGCTAGGTAAGTAGTTGTAAAAGTTGTGTCCATAAATTTTAATATTTTATAACTATTCGTAGATTATGAACAATTAAGAACTGAAGATACTAAGTAGAGTTGCAATGCCTACCGCTAAAATAGAAAATTTTCCCTACTGTCAAAATTATTTTTTTAAAAATATGTATATTAAAAAAAAACTAAGAGAGAAACACGGCTTCTATGCACTCACACTAACATTATATCAAGAATAAATTAAGATATTGTTCTCTTTTATAAAATAGTACTGGTTATCTTGAATTATGGGGTGTGGGTGTAAAGAAGATCCACACCCATGAAAATACAGGGGACAGCATCCTGTGCCGTTGTATCCCATTTCCAAACGCCCGAATTTCTGTTAAAATCCTTAATACTTTCTTGCAAATTCTTACATATCGATAGTAACTTTAGACTGAAACTAGATTTTGAAACATCATGTGCCTCTCTCTGGCAGGCAATATTATTACGAGGCGAATAGGATTCAAGAAGGAACAATCTAGTAGCAAGGACTGAGTCAAGAAGGATTTAATTCAACCTCCATGATCACTATGAAAGCATTTTGTGTCAACTTTTCAGCTCTTTCCACCTCTAAAAAATATCGACAACCTTGAATGAAAAAGAAAATTTGTTTAAAACACTGGTCTTCTGGGTCCAAAAAATTTTTCTGCCGATTTATATTAAAAATCTAAAGTCAAATATCGCCAAATCATTCTCGATATTCTGTAATAATTTTCATCTATTTTGTTTTTCTCATCTGAGAATAATTCAAAAATTATCTGGTAAGCGTTCGTTTTGGTTCGATGATATATTTGGTTTAATACAAAAAGATCATGGAATGTATTTCTATTTTCGTAGATAACATCATCGAGAACTATATCGTCATTCTCTTTTTATCAAATAACATTGTTATTATTGATACATCATCTGAACGTTGTTGTCGAACTCTAAAATTACAGTTTGCATACATATTACATTATCATTTAATTCATTTTCATCAAATGATAATATCAAGAATAAAAGCAAGTTGTATATAAATTGAACACTAATTATAAAACTTTGAATCATTTGAGAAAAATAAAAAGAGAATAACTACATCATTTTATTCTTCGTTTCGAATTTGTAAAATACAATTTTTTTTCTTTCAAGATAAGACAAAAAATATGTCTAAATTATCGAGTCAATGTCAAGATGAATTATGTTTAAAAGAAGGCGATCCGAAGTCAACACGTTTATATCTATGTTCACATCATTGTTACAAAATGTTATGCCTTAAACATTTAACTGAACATGATCAATGTATTAAAAACCGAACTCAATATCAAAACAAATTAAAAGATTTATGGGACATATATACTACAAAATTTGATGAAGATAAAATTGAAAAACAAATTCAAAATTTAAAAATTGAACTTGAAAATTATCAGAATTTAAAGAAATGTATTGAGAATTTATTATCGATTAATCATTTTCATGGTTCAATGGAAAATAATCAAAAATTTGAAATAGCTATTGCAAAACTACAGAAAGTTATTGAACAAAAAAATCAATCAGAATCAACTTATGGTAAGTTATTTTATTGAAACGACACCAAGAAAAGTAAATATCTATATCTATTAGATAATATTGATCCAAAATCTAAATCAATAACAAATGATGAAGAAGAAAAACAACCGGTTATCGATTATGGTAAAATATCATGAATAATAGAGTCTCTCAAAATTATTCGACTAGGTTTATGATGGAATTATTTTCACTATTGTAAACGCTAATAAGTTGTCTCGGAAAAAACAAAACCTAAGTTTTTCACTTTGAATTAACTAGAAAACTAAAACAAACAATTCTCTACAGCATCTTTTGAGGAGATTCAATTGAAGGTTTTTTTTAGGAAAGTTTTTCCCTGATAGGATGACTCAGATTTATTTTATATTTTC